ACCTCTCAGACTGGTGTTCAAATTCAAATGGTGATTGCCTTTTTTCACTACAAAGGTTGATTCTTATCTCTTACATTCACAATAATTAATTGAAACTTCACAGAAATTAAATTAGTAAAAAGCGGCCATAAAGTAAGATCCAGATGCCTGTTACCATTTCTCTTTTGCTTACAGATTTGCTTCCTCTGTTTTTCACCTAAGAAGCCAAGGGAGCAGAGAGTATCACTTCAATAGGTTAAAGAGATAAGCAAAGGGGTGGGTTTTTAATAACATTTTAGAAATCTCCACAGCAAGCCAGTTAGGCAATGGAGAAGAGTCTATAAAACAGATATCTTGGAAGAGTTATTAAAAATTATTACACAAATTGCAATCCATTCCTTTTTTAAGCTAAGTGTAAATTATTGCCAGGAGGATCACTACACTTAGAAGCTCTGTAACCTATCCTGCACCTAAAGAGTTATAAACACATACCACTCTCATACAAGACTTCTTTCCTTCCACCTTTTTTGTTTTTTTTTTTAGTTTGGTGTCACTGAAGTGCAGTGTAAAATTGTGGCTATTGTTGGCCTCTTTACACACTGTTCCTAATTTGACAAACAGCAGTTTAGAAGGTCAAATAGGAAAACAATATCTTAAGAAAATAGCAATTTCTGTGGCTTTGAAATACAAAAAAACCAAACAAACAGAAAAAAACCAGTTCCAAAATCTTTATCTCCTCGGTTCATGAAGCCATAAAATAAGTACAGCACTGTGATCACTGCAAAACTTCAAAGCCTGTATGCCCAGTGTACCATTTTAGGGCTATTAAGTTGTACAGCTACTGTACTTGTAGCAAATAGTTACACAAGATTGTAGCAGCAAAGCCAAAGATTTCACCCTTGGAACAAAACTCCCTTAAAGCTATACTCTCTACCATAGGCTCACGGTATAAGCTTGTAATGTCTCTTATCAACCATGTTCAAGAGATTCTACATAAAGAAATTATTGATGATAACACTGAAAATGACAGCTTCATTTAGAAAATCCAGCACTCCAAATATGATATTGAACTATATACACAGTAAATGAATAACAAAATACAATAAGTTAATTCCTTTGACATATCAGCATTTCTGTAGAAAAGCAAAGTAATGGTTTTGCTCATTGCATCAGACCATGATGAAAATTCACTAAACTAAAAAACCTCATTCTGAAGGTGGTAGTATATCCCCAAGATATTATGTAAACCAAGAACATAGGAGACCATATCTTTCAGGAATATATGATTCAAAAATGACCAGAAGGTTTATTCATCTATGCTGATACACTTGATTTTTAGCAATTTGTCCCAATTAAATGTTAAAAGGCTCAATTTATACGTGTATGTAAAGTCTAGCCCATCACAATCTGCTTTCACCCACCTCATGTACAGCTGCCAGATATTCCAGCTGGCTGGAATAACCAGAAGGTACAATCAGTGTCTTTCAGAGGCCATCTGGGAGGACTTCGGTCAAAATCCCCATTAGGCCATATAAAGAGTAAGTCCTGTGGGGCATCCTGGGAATTTTTGTGTATGTCATAGGACACTGTACAAGATTTTTGTTCATGTAATATGACAAACCCACTTACAAAATTAAAACAAGCTTTTATGCACTTGTCATATTATGAATTGCATTATCATGGGGAAATGTGGTTATAACCTCAGATAAAAATCATGTTATATTTAAATATTGATGATATTTTTTAAGGTTACAAATAATAAGCTTCACCAAGTTCTCTCTTCCCCAGAAATTGGTTAACACCACCAAGATTGCAGACGCAATTTAAGCAAGTTCGAACTAATCCTAAACTAGTTGCAATAAACACTTAGAACAGTTCTCACCTTCCCAATCAGGGTATGTCTACAAAGGTATCTCATTTTGAAGATTGTCCTCAGCATGCCCTAGTAACAGATCTCTGCCTATATTATACTGCACAGTCCATCATAAATTACTATTCATTAGTCCATTTTGTAAAATAGTTTCAGTCTTATCCAGTACATCTAATTAGATGTTTCTTCTTCCATGGCCATCTAATTATATTGTCAGAAAGACTGCTGACCAAAAACTGTTCTTTAAAGCCTACACAGCAAAATAAACTACAAACATGCCCCTGCAAGTCTCTACACTTATTTTTAAGCTGTTATTTTTAAGATTTTTTTCTGCTCAGTTGATATCAATTTTTTCCTTCCTCAACAAACATGCTTTCAACTCAGCCACTGGTACAGATTTTGCTCCTTGCTTTCCTACAGAAAAGTGCTTGTGTGTAGGTAAATGAACTTATGAAATGCTTTCAAGGCTCGAGAAGTGTGCATAGGAGAGGCTGCTGCCTTTTTTCTACTGGTAAAAAGCACGCTCGCTTTTTAGAAAAAAGGATGGTTTTATCCTTGATTCTGAAGCCTGAAACCTTAGTAAATTAGCTGTGAAAATAACTGAGTGGAATCCCACAACACTGTTGCACAAAATACTTCACCTAACAGAGAAAAGTTATTCAGTTCCTCTGTTTATGCATAAAGTATACAAAAATTCTCTCTGATTAAGCAGTATTGCTTAATTCCTAGTAATAATGGAGTATTCCAAGGTAACATATTTGGAGGTGAAAATGCAACCTATGTTGGTACACACATTTCCTTATTGTACATTTATTGCCAGTACATTCCAGCAGAAGGAAAATTTGGCAAGCAAAGATCCTGTCTTTGAAAGTTGATCCGTACTTCTAAAATTTAATATCAGTAACACAGTACACTCAACTTTTTCTAAGGACCAGATGAGAGATTAAAATATATATATATATTTAAGCACCTAGATCCAAATTTCCTGCTCTGAGGAGCCCCAAATTTGGAGGTAAGTAAACAACTGGCCCTGATTTCTTTTAAATCAACATTCTAAAACACTTTAATTTCTGCTTTTGTTCATGCATACCGTTCTCCAGGCCACAACACCAAGAATCAGCTAGGTCTCCAGCACTTTCAGAATCCCCAAATTCTTTATTCTTTCTCTCCTGCTCTAGGACTTTCCTTTGGTATAACTAATAGATCTGTGCCTAATAGATCAAACTATCACCGGAAAGGTATTTTGGGGTTTTATTTTTTACCAAAGTTCAGCAGTTTTATATCAAACCTCCCCTGTTAGAATACTTATTAATGCATATACGTAGAGTCATTGGGCTTGGTTTCTCCTTATGAGCTATTTTGACAATTAACAGGCAACTTAAATGTAAAATGCATTAGATATAAACAAATAGCTGATAACCTTATACATTTGATTTTCTGATGTCAGAGGCTTGCTTACCAGTCAGTTTTTTGATCATCACCAGTTGTAACTGTCTTGTGACAAGCAGTTTCAGAGAGAACTCTGAATAAAAGCCAGATCTGAATTCTCTGACAGTGTTACTTTGTGTCTAAACACATTTCTGTTAATTCCACTATCAAAATCAAAAGTCATGGAAGTCAAATATTTCCAGTTGGAAGACATCATGAATTTAGAATGTGATATATTCATGTTGAATGTAAACTAATTTATTTTAACAGACTTAGACTAATTATATCTCTAAAAATCAGTAGAAAAGTAATTTCAATTTACCAGTTTTGGTAGTGAATATCTTTAACACTATGGACACAAGTTCTTTTTTAAAAAGCATTTTTGTAAAGGCATGATCCAAAACAGACCTCAGTTAACAGTGGAATCTGCCTTTGACTTGAACAGACTGAAGATCTGGCTTAACCACTGTGACTTTGTCAAGAATAAAATTCTCAGGTGATTTCTTATAAGATACAATGAAAAATGAAACGCTCACGAGTTCTCACTGATCATAGCTGGAGCCCACAAAGTGACATGTGAAAAGTGGTTAAAATGGAACACTTGAGGACTGCAAAAGGCAAGGTTATTAATTTACCAGAAACAGTCTTGCCAAAATTAAATAAAGGAAAACGGAAAAATGGCATAACCTGGGTGTAATTCTGTTGAGGTAATGCACTATGTGAGTGAGAGCTGTGGTAGTCTTCTCTAGCATCCCTTCATAAAGCAGCTACATAATTTTAATTAAGTAAGTGACTATAGCAAAAACTTAAGAGATCAGAATCCCAGTGAATTATGAAGTATAAATTACCATGTATGCCAGTCTTTTTACCAAGATAAAGGTACAACACATGCAGTAAATTTCTAATAAACCTTTAAATCTTATCTAACGGAAAGTAGTCATGTAAACTGAAATTTTAAAAGGCGATGAACTTAAAATAGAAAACTACTCCCTCATTTCATTTGAGCCACATGAATGAATACGTAACATACGTTCAACCAAAAATGTTACATATTTCCCACAATTTTGTAATTCCTTTTGAGAAAAGAGGGAACCATGATGCACCAAAATGATAAAAGATAAAAACATTTCTTTCTAGTAGGAAAAATATTTATTACAAAAATTGCTATTCTGGATCTGTTTTTCAGATGCAAAATTAATGAAAGGTCTGTAATTTATAGTCAAAAATATAAAATGGGAATGAAATAATTAATATTAATCCTTATGGGCTTATTAGTGATGCTGAATTTATATCTTACATTACAGATATAAGAGTAACCCCTTTTTTTCCAGAAGGGATCAAAATAGTTAACATAATTTTATAAGATCAAATTGACTAGATTTGACAAGTAATTTGACTAATAATCTCTTTCTACCTTTAATTTTGCTGAGTGTTATCTGAAAAAAAAAAGTATTTTCAAAGAATGGCCCAACATTATACAGTGTGGGGAAATACCTTTTCTTGAATCAATCTTTCTTCAAAAGTCATTTACATTCCACTATAGTATTTTATCAACCAATATAACATAAAATTCTTTTAATATTGTAAACTTTGTTAATGTATTTAAACTTAAATGAACAATTTTCATTAAATAATAGGTAGTGGGAAAATCAGTATGCCTTTTTTCTTTTGGTTTGTCATCTAGAGGCTTTTATAGTCCACTGGGGCTTTTGTTTTTCCTTACCTGGAACTCTTTTTGCCCAGTTGATCATGTGCACTAATTCTCTGTCTGCAAGGTTGGTCAACAGGGTCATCATAGAGGCTTCATTGAATGGTCTATTTGGGTCATATTCAGAATAAACTAGTGGTGGCTCAGCTTCCAGCAAGGCACTGACCATCTGTTCTGCCGTCAGGGATAGGGCCGGACTGTTCTTCTTGTTATGTTTAACCACCAGTGGACTCGCCCAAAGGGTGGGAGCTCGCAGCTCTGTTGAAGAAGTCTCCCCATTTCTGGAATCCTGCTCCTCTCTTTGACGTTTTTGCTTCATCACTCGTCCACCTCTGCGGTCTTTCCGGATTCCTAGAGATACACAAGAATATAATGAACCTCTTTCCTTGAACTTATATATGATGTACACTTGGCTTTAGTCAGCAGCAGCTGCTGTTAGACCCAGGCAGCACTGATTCTTGCTTTATTTTCTGAAGACTTCCTCCTATATATGGAATCTTACATCAGTGGGTGGAGAGAAAAACTACTTTTAAAAGTATAGTGTCAGGAACTCCTTCCTAAAATTCAGATCAGTTGGACTTACACAGAACTCTGGACTAGTGACACTGTATACAGTTGCCTTATTCCAAGAAAGGAAGTCAGTAACTGGGAATAAACAAATATTTTTTTACAACTCAAAACTTCAAAGTATGTCCCAACCCCTAGCAGACAATTACTCTATAAATGATCAATGATAAATTACTGCTGTTGGTGGACCAAATGGATCACAGAAGTAGCTCTCAGAAACTAAGGTCACTATTTTAATCAAACATCATCCTATTACTGAGTCTGTGATCTTCATGATTATATAAAAATAATCAAAAAAGTTCCCATTATAAGATGAGCTTATACAGCAATAAATAATGTCATATAACCAGATAAACAGAAATAAGAGAAGGAGAGATAACTGCAACCTCAGAATCTAATGTGGGAGGACCTACTATCAAAGGCTGAAAGAACCACAACAGAAACTTTGTCATTACTGTACATTTCTGAAATGTGCTTTGCACTGTATGACCCTGAACCTTAGGATATTATCAAGTCAGCCATACCAGTTTCAAAAACATCAGACCTTACAGTAGAACAAAATCTCCCTTTGTGGAAAGGTTACAAGAAAAATATAATGATAAAGCCCACGTGCACTCCAACCATAAAGGGAAGATTAAGTCTGCCTCCAAGTGGAGGAGTTACAGGCATTTTAAGACTAAGTCAAAAACTTAAATCCATCATCAGGTAGAGGCAAAGGAGGACAACCAAGTAATAAGGAAAGCACACAAGGAATTGAGCTATGAGGAGAAGGCAGCTTATGATGGGGCTTATTCTGGAGTTCTCATGCAATATGAAAAGGCAGCACTAGTCCCAGTTTGAAAAGCAAGATAAGTATCTACAGAGAAGAGAGACGCTAAGCAATCAAGAAATAGAGAAAACATTTAAAACAAAAACAAAACCAAACCAACAAAACAAAAAAAACCAACTTCAAGAACTGCTGACATTTGCAAGCCTTCAGTTCAGGTCTTTCTGATGGTTGGGGAGAGGGAAATACAACCTTAGCTCAGCTCTTTTCACATCACAAAAATTTAAACCTTTAGAATCCCAGTCTTTGGTAGCGACATAGCAGCATTTTCATCTCACATACAACATGCCTTCATATAAGTGTTGGATCATATCAGCAGGTGTCCTTTCCCAATCTCAAAGAAACAGGGAGAATCTTTAGATCTGTGTTCCTCTCTCTTCAACTATGGTGAGATTTTCACTGAATTAGTACTTGAAGGTTAAGCTTTGATGTCTAAGTCATTCAAAATCTAGTAGGTTTCATGATTCTATTCTATTAATCTATTCAGATAAAGCAAGTTCAATAAATCTTTCATTACCCCTATTATTTAAGCTCTCTACATTTTCCCATTCACTAAACTACTTGTAAGCCAAAACTCTCAAGAACACTGCTGTTGCTATTTTTCATTCAGCAATACCAATTTTTCCTATCACTAAACAGTTTTTACTAAGGAGAGGAAGGGGAGATTATTGTTATTAAGAAAAAATGCAAGATTTATTTTGGCAAAAAGCCACGCTACAGATATTCTCATTGGTAGCTTACTTCCTCACAAAATTCGACAGTACGCATGCTCTATCTGTAACAGATATTTTTGTAGTATGCTTTTATAAATATAATGGTTTTGTATTAAAATTGCCCTGTGAAACATGAAGACATAATCATGTGAACAAAACTACATGATTCATAGAAACTAAAGCTTTCTCACACTCCAAATTTTACTACTGCTCATCTAGCAATTTTCTTTCAAAGAGGAAGTATCCTTGGGGTCTGTGCCGTTCAATATACTCATAAATATGAAGATGGACAGACATAATACAGAAACTAGAACTTGGGGTTAGAATAATATTATAAAAACATCAGATAAGTTAGTTTAGAAAGTAAATAGAAGGTTAGAAATTACTGGGAGGGAGTACAGAGCAGCTTCATAAATTACAGATTTTATTAACTCATGAGGCACACTACGATGAACACTACATGCAGTTCTGCTCTTTCCAAATTAAAAAGAGACATAAAATAAATGAAAAAGGGATAAGAGAAAGACAAATAAGATTATTTGAAGTGTGAAACAACTTTGGCGTGAGAAATAGCTAAATTGAATATTTCTGCTTGGTCTGCAAGCGAGACTACAAAATTAGCAGTAGCAAGAAGACAAATAAGGTAGAAAACATTAATGTTTCTCTTCTAATACAAGATGGTATCAAATGAAAATAACCTGTGCAAGGTCAGCACAGACAAGAAGAGATTCTCTTTGTCACCATGCACAAAAAATTAAACTGAAAGTGTGAGTAAATTAGAAGGTAATATATTTAGAAATCTGTTGGCCAAATTTGATGGAGAACAGAATCCATTAAGGGTTAATATGTATAAATAGGGCATTTTCGGTGTAAGGTAGGCACAGGATGCCATGGCATAGATTACTGGAAGATCAGAGGGTTTTTGGTTTTGCTTTTTACTTAGTCCAGGCCTGCCTTGTTAAGTAGAAAAAGGATGCAACCAGGATTTTACATAACAAAGGGAAAGTGACAAAAGAAAGTGCATTTAGCTGTTTACAAATCAACCAGATGCTAAATAAGAACAATAGTTTTATTTTTAATTCATCTGAAAGCTTACGACTGGCTTTCCTTCACCTTAGAAAAAAAAGTGGTGCATTGAGCAAAGTTGAACATAACAAGTTTGGAGGAGATGTCCTCCACAAATTTAGTTTTTGCATTTTTATTTTGGGATTTTAAAAAAATCAACAAACCAATTGGATTTTGTAGAGACTGAATCTAAAAAAAGGCAGTAAGAGTATGCATTCCATCTGCATCACATTACCAGCTTTTATGATCACAGACAGAAAGGTCTCTGAATCTGTATAATGACAAATGCAAGTGCTTCCAAATCTCCTTCAACTTAATCAAATTTTAACTCTGTTAAATAGACAGAATAGTGGTGCACAGTCACTAACTTCAAAAAAGACAACTCTATCAGGCTACAATTTCATTACAAAAGTGCAAAAGTGCAGCAATACTGTAAGAGTTTTTAAATATCTGAATGCATTAATTTTCATTCGACAGTTCAGCCAATAAAGGGACCTGAATTGCCAAACGTTATGAAAAACAATATTCTACCAAAAATTGAAGTCCTATGCATCTTGCAAAAGCTCTAAAACAATTTCCACTTGAGTTTTAAAGCTACAAGACCCTAGATTTTCAAAGGCAGTTTTATAAAGCTTCCTATGTAAATTCAGTCAGATTTTTAGATATGAAGACAGGTTTCAAAACCGCTAAGTAATTACGTAATCAAATCAGTAGAACCTGATCAGCAATAAAATTGCATATGGACAATAAAATTGCATATGCCATTCCCATGGCAGGAGAGTTGGAACTAGATGATCTTTAAAGTCTCTTCCAACCCAAGATTCTGTAATTCTATGCCTGTGGAGGCAATGTTAACCGACAAAATACCTCACTACTGTTTTCCCACATCATTAAAATAAAACAAAAAATAAATTCCAGATTGTTATAACAAAAAAACCTAAATTAAGAATTCATTGGATGAACATTGAATCTCAGCCGTCCAATAGCCATTTTTTGCTCCAACCTACTCCTAATAACAAAGATTCACCTTTATATCTTCAGTATTATATAAAAGATTCAAGAATACTTAGAGGAAATAGAGGAGGAGACCAAATAAATTAAAATTGGCTCTGTGTGAACCATAAAATAATGATTTTAGATTTGAAGATGTATATATAATCTCAAATTCTGTTCCAGTTAAATATATTCCCTATGAGCTGCTTTATATAATATTCTTCAATATCTTTATTATCAGAAATTTGGTAGGAATATTTGTCAAGTAAAGAATGGTTATGGGTTGGAATAAATGGGAATAGATTTGAGAAGACCCAATAAACTTTACTTGGCATCAAGACTGAGACAAAATGATTGTTTGACAAAATTGAAACAGTCAAGATATTTTTATGTTCTTCCTATTGTTCACTATTCTGGAAATCCTAAACAGAATTGCTATTGCTTTTTGTCTTCATTGCAACACTCACCTGCTATGCAAAATACCTATCGTGCTATTTTCATTAACATGGTACAAAAAATGCAAAAGACCTTCATCTTCTCTTTCCCCATACTCACAGCATTCACTCTGCCTGTTCACACAAAGGATGGGTATTAATGTGGAAACTGCCTGTCATCATAAAGCCTATTCAGTTGCAATCTATTTATTAACCCATCTCTCATGCTCCACTTTGGTTTTGCTGAAGTTCTAGACAGTTTTCCAATAGCTGCAAGCAAAAACCAAAATAAAGTTATTTTCTACAAATAGCAACTGTCTCTGAAGATTAAAACTCTCAGGTGCATTGCATGTTAAACCTTGTCTTGTTTAGCTCCAAATGCAGGGGAAAAAAAACAAAACCCAAAAACATTCCCCAGTATTTTTTTAATGAAACCTTCCCAAAAGTCAGTAGAGGTCTAGGATTATTACTACATGTATCAGCGGTCATCAGTCATTGAGAAAGCTCCAGGGACTTTACATACAGAGCCCAGACTCACAGACACAATCTCTCCTTGATCTGGGATCTTTTGCATCACCTCAGAACAGATGAGATGTCAGCCCTAAGCAATGTCCACAACCTAAAAAACTCTGGACTTTTTTTAAATTTCTGGTTTAAACACATTTCTGTGGTTCAGCTTGCAAACAACTTGCAAAATATACTAGTGTGACTACACATATTTCACAGTGGCAACAGAAACAAAATTTTGCAGTT